TACAGGTCAACTAACATAGTCAATTCTAATACCAGAATATGTGTACAAAAGCATACATCTGTTGCGTAACACAACCAATGATATCCACGGAAGATGTATCATTCTGTTAATTGTAAGACTAACATTTTGCAACATATAGCATACAAACAACCTTATAAACACTCTCTTTACTTAGAACAACTTGAGATTGAGGAGTCATCTCATCTTCACTGCTCGAGGCATCACTTTCATCATCTTCTTCAATCTTCTCATAATCCAGAAGAAAAGACAGTGCAGCAATCATAATCCTGAGACATATAAAACCAAACACACAATCTGAAACACGGGAACAAAATAGCAACCTTCCCACTAAAAAAAAAAAAAAAAACCTCCCTACCTTGACGATGAATGAAAACATGCAGTACAGATTGCATTGGCAGTTCGTTCATCGAACCACACCTTCCTCCGGTGAAGCTCACATAGCGTGATAAGCGCTCTCTTCGCTTTGGCTTCATCCTCTTGCTATGAACAATATTCAGATTAAATTATTAGACTTACGATAAAAGAGCATAATCAATACCCAAGAAAACGTTAAAAATATAAAGTACACCTGTAACATCGAAAATATGATGTTTTGTAGCGCCCGATTATTAGCTTCATTCTTGTGCTTCTGATTCATTTTCCTAATGCTATGAACAACATGAGAGAAAGCCAATTTTCTTAAATTCCTGTCACCTAGAGTCTGTAGCTCCACGAACAAAGCAAGAGTCTCTCCAATATCAACTATCTAACAGCCAAAAGAGAGATCAAATTCAACAACCCGATTAAGACAACGAAAACGCATTTTTCAAATGCAAAAAAGAAATTAAATTCAACAATCCACTTAAGAAAAAGAAAACATTTTATTGAGAATTGAAAAAAAAAATAACAATCTGATTACTAAAAAGATCGCTTTTTTTTTTAGAATTCTGAAAACAAATTCAAATTAACAATCCGATTAAGAAAAGGAGACACATTTTCTAGAAAAAGCGACATTTTCTAGAAAAAAAAAATGAAATTCATAGCTGACCTTCCTGTTGATGAGAAGAATGAGAGCTTGCGCGACGTGGCCGCGAAGGCCGGAGGGGAGAGAGGCGGCGGAGGACCGGAGCAAGTCGGCGAGCTGCTTGGGGAACTCCGAGAGGTGTTTAGGGTAGAAAGGAGTGACGTGAGCCAAGAAGGAGGCTCTGTCGCCGAGGTCCTTGGAGACGGAGGGGTCGGTGCCGATGCCACTGATGGAGGTGAAATTGAGAGCCGCTTGCTGCTCAAAGAGCTCCAAAGACGACTTGAATTGGCTGTATATCAGAGCCAACTCCGACTCGTAGCCTTCCGGATCGCACTTCATCTTCGATTGCAGCGACGGCAGGCTCAACTTCTCCGAGCTTCGGCCGGACGCGGATATGGATTCCGGCGAGACGCCGGTGACCGCGTGGTGAGAGGTCATAGGTCTAATCTACGGAGAACGGAAACGGCCGTCGAAACTGGGGTCAGGGGTGGGTGAAGGAGCCGGCTACCGTTTGGGGTTTACTAGGGCTTTAGTAACGAACTGGCTGAAAACCTTTTTGCGGAGCCCCTGAGCTTTGCGTATTTAGCAGATCCGTCCTTTAACTAAAATATTTGGCAATCATCTTTCTGAATTATGAATTTCGTTGTATTGGTGAACCGGTAGTCCTTTTGATAACTTCCGCCAAATATTTTAAGGTTTGGAAATTTTTTTGCATTTAAGCTTCTAATCATAGGTAAAGTTTCCGGTCCGATATTAGATTGTGTAAAGTCCATTATGATTAGAGGAATTGTCTCCAGTCCGGTAACCAGACTGAAACGGTACTTATTTATTTCTCTATAAAATATGTATATTTTTTTTAAAAAATATATATATTTTCTCTTAAAATATATATTATATATGTTACCATAAAAAAATATACATATTTTAAAAAAAAATATACACATTTTAAAAAAAATACATATTTTATAAAGAAATGAACAAGTGTCGTTCCAGTCCGGTACCCGGACTGGAGACAATTCCTCTAATCATAATGGACTTTTTTATTCAAATTCGGAATTAACAAAAAAAAATATAACAAAAAAAAGAACCAAACACCCACCACAAAAAAAAAGAACCAAACATCTCTCTCTCTCTCTCTCTCTCTGCCAGCAAAGGCTCGCAAGGGGACGGTGGCCTTCATTTACAAATGAATCTAGTTTCGCGAGGGGGTAGCAACTCTGGTTTTCTCCATGGGGCTAGAAACTCCGGTGCGTGTTTAGAACTATTTTTTAAAACGGTTTTTATGTATTTCGAGAAGCAAGAAATGGAAAGGAAAATGAAAAAGAAACAATGTTTATTTAGTAAGGGCCCGCTTAGTTCATTAATTTGAGTTTTTAATTGAGAGAAAAGAGGGAAATAGGCCCAGACTTGAGATGAATTAAAATTAATAGGTCAATGGTTTACATAAGTTAATAAATATGCCAAATTACTGTTTTTGTCCATAACTTGTCTGGTTATAAACCATAACTTGATAAATTATTATCCATAAATCACGGTTTTTGTCCATAACTTGTCTGACTATGAACCATAACTTGACAAGTTTGTCCATAACTTATCTAGTTATGAACCATAACTTGACAAGTTATGGCCTATTAATTTATATAACTAAAAGTTGGCCTATATACTTCCTTAAGCTTTTCATATTGGCCTATTTTCTACTATTTCTGTTTTTAATTCGAGTTGAGATATAACTTTATGTGAGTACTTTTTACTGTAGTAAAAAGTAAAATGTGACTATTTTTAAGAGCTTTTTACTGTAGAAAAATTCAAATTTTAAACTCGAATCGATGAAATGAACGGAGCCTAAATGTTTTGAAAATGAATATGAAAACAATGAAAATGGTTTTTGTAAATAAATTAAAAAATTGTTGAAAGTTGTTTTCACTTTTTTATTTTCATTTTTTAATACTTATCAACAAGATTATAATATATTAATTAATAAACACGATTTTACTTTTTTATTATACTCAAAACAATCTCTTAACAAACCAACTAAACGCAATTTTAGAATCGGTCCCAAAATAATTCTCAACACAGTCTCATTTTTACTTTTTATTGAAAACAAAATCATTTTGAAACCAATTCTAAACGCACCCTTAGTTTTACTAGGAATAAGAGGGTGGCGCGGATCTGGGATTTGGGTTTGCAACGGGGGCTGGCTCACAAAGGGTGATAAATTATGGTGGATAATGCTGAAACTTTGGACGGGCTGCCCGCGACCACTGAAATTTTTAAATTTTTACCCGATGACTGAGTCTGCCCGAGCCTGAATTTTCGGGCTGCCCGACTTGACCTGAGAAAGACCATGGACGGGCTTCGGCCAAGTTTTGGCTGGCCGAGCCCAATCGGGCAGCCCGAGACCGCCTGTGTGCCCAAAATTTTTTTTAATGTTTTTTTATATATTTATATACTATTATATATATTATATATAATTTTGTTTATTAATTGTATATGGTATGTATATAAATGATTTTTAAGTTATTTATTGTAAAAATTATATAAAAAATATAAGAGATATTG